TGCTTATTTCTCCAGTCCAGCGGCTCGATCGTCGGTTTCTCCAGTTTTCGGTGGTATGAACGGCTTTCCCAGTTTAACTGTCTACCGTTTGGCTTGCGCAGTGGTCCCAGAGGCCAGAGTCTTCACCAAGACTAGCTCTGCACCCTGTGGTGAAGATGGTACGTTCGCTCGGCCTACAACTGGTGATTTACCTCGCCGACGTATTCATCATGGCACGGACCACGTCCGACCTGTTTCGCCCTGTTGCTACCATTCTTCATCTGCTGATTGGTCTTGGGTTCGACATCAACTGGACGCAGTCGTATCTGATTCCCACGAGGCAGATACAATACCTAGGTATTCAGGTCAACTCCATCACCATGGAGTTCGAATTGCCGGACACACAAGCATCCACGCTTCAACAACAATGTGCGCGTCTGCTGGCTGCTCACACTGTATCTCTTCGGGGTATTGCGTCAATTGTGGGCATGATGGTGTCCACCATGGTTGCAGTGGCTCCTGCATCACTTAACTATCGTCGCTTGCAGTGTTTGAAGAACACGTTCCTACGGCAGGGTCGCTTTTACACTTACCGGCTTACTCTCAGTCACGAGTTCCGTGCCGGGATTCAATGGTGGATTCGGCCTCTCCCGCTGTGGAGTGGGCGACCTGTACGCCTTTCCGAACCGGACCTCGCCATCCCGTCCGATGCATCCCATGCAGGTCGTTCGGGGTGGGGCCCGGTACGGTGCATAGTGTGCCAATGTCACCACAGGCGGCTGATGGACATCTGCCGAGAAGCAGCTTCACATGAATGTCCCGAACTGCTCGCAGCCCAGTATGCTGTCCAGTCGCTAGCGCCTTCTTTATACCGGGGCAGTATTCTCCTGCAGCTCGCCTAAAGTGTGGCTGTTCCCTGTTTGCCCCGCACTGGCAGCAGTTCATCACCGACATTAGACAGGATAGCTGCCACGCTGTGAGCGTGGTGTCTGCTCAGAGATATCACTTTGATTCCCCAATATCTACCTGGTGCAGTGAACACAGTCGCCGATTATCACTCTCGCCATCACACCGATGCCAGCGACTGGATGCTCGACAGGTCAGTTTTCCAGGATCACCAGATCATGTGACCGAGTACCTGCGACCTGTTTGCATCTCGCACTGAATTAAAAAACTGCACACGTAGACTCTACGTCAGTTGGCGCCCATATGCACACAGCCCGCATGCCTTCAGTCTCGACTGGTCCTGCCTGCAAGTCTATGTCTTCCCTCCAATCTATCTGATTGGCAAATGCCCGGCCAGGGTTGTTCTACAGGAGATCCCATCCATAGTCATGGTCACTCCGCTTTGGCCCGGCCAGGCTTGGTTTCCAGCTCTCTTGGCACTAGTGGTGGACGTTCCGCGCGCGTGCTGTCAGCCTCTCCAGTCTTGTTCGCTGGTCCAGGTCGCAAAGCTCTCCCGTTGGTACAGTCAGCTCACCTCACCATAGTTGCATGGAAACTCTCCGGGCTAGCAATAGCCGCAGCGGAGTTTCGGGCGACACTGCCAACCTACTCTTGGCGTCATGGCGTTCCCTCACCGAACGTGTGTATCAGTCGGCATGGAACACATGGTGTGATTGGTGTGCCACCCGGCAAATTGATTCCCTGGGTGTTCTCTCAGAGGTCTTCGATTTTCTGACCTCCCAATTCCGTCTGGGTCGACTGTATCGTACGCTAGGGTGTTACCGGTCAGCCATGTCAATGACGCTTCCTCCCATCGATGGCGTTGTAGTTGGCCCGCATCCTCTGGTGTCTCATATGCTCCCCGGTGCATACCAGTCCCGTCCTTCTCAGCCGTGCTATGGCAGCATGTGGAATGTACAGGCAGTCCTGGATCGGTTCCGGAACATGTCCTTCATGCCTGAGTCTCTCAAAGAACTGACTCTCAGGTTGACTATGCTGCTGGCTCTGACGGGTGCCCGGCGTTGCTCTGAGCTGCAGAAGCTCGATGTTCGTTTTCTGGATATTATTGTCAACGCTGCTTCATTTGGGATTCCCACTTTTACCCAGAATCAGCGCATCGGTGATCCAGCCAAGCAGTTTGTCTTCCCTGCTTGCCCTCAGCACCCTCAGTTGTGTGTGGATGCTCTAAGGCAGTATCCTGCTTGCACAGCGAGAGAGCGAGTTTCCGGCCGGCTGCCGCCGCGTCTGCCAACCCTCTGCTGCTGTCGCTCCGCCGTCCTCACAAGCCGGGCTCCCCCGAGCACCGTTGCCGCTGAGTGAGGTGGCTCCTCACTTCCATGTCGGATGCTGGTGTGGACACCATCGTTTTCAAGGCGCATTCCACACGTAGTGCGGCCACCTCCGCTACCTGTCGGCAGGGAGCCTCTGTACCCGACATCCTCAGGGCCACCGCCTGGGCGCAATCCTCTACATTCCAGAGGTTTTACTCTCGTGATGCTTCACCCTCCTCCTTCTGATGGCACCACCTTCGGTGCGACTGTCCTTGGCTGACAGTCTGTTATTCCGCCGCTCATGATCGCGGCCGATAGGGTCCCCTGTTTGTGATCCACGGCTTCAGTCCGCCGTGTTCTTTTCTCCTACACATTGTGGTTTTCTCAGACCAGACTTTTTCCTTTCCAAAGGTCCTGTATATACCTGGTATATAGCTGGTGCACCAGTTTTTCCCAGGTGTTCCCACTCTGGAGTTTGCATTGTCCGTTAATTCTGCATTGTTGACTATGCTAAGTTGTATTCCATTTTGGTATGATCTACTCCACTCGCCGTTCCGTGCGTAAGTTTTATGATAATTCCATCTGTACTCAGTGATGGTCATTCAGTGGCCTGTGCCTGGCATAGTGTGGGCTAATTATGCTAGTTTATCATGCCACGCACCTTTTACTAGAACTTTCACTAAGTCCTTGTGTGGACAGTGTGATAGTTTCTTGTTTCCGCTCAGGGTGCGGAACCGACTTTAAACAAGACATAGTTATATCTCACCGGAAACTCCGACATGCAATTTCCCATTTCACAAGCAATGGAAAATTGTGTAGTGAAGTGGGAATTGTATAAGGAGTTGGGGGTGAGATATAACTATGTCCCACCCTGGTTGGGTGTTCTCCATGAAAATAGGCCTGAAGGGCCTTGGATGAGCTGCATCAAGTACAGCTTCATTAGAATATTGAACTTTAAAAAATGCTGTGTTCGAGCATGAAATCGCGTAAATCGCAAGGGCTAGACATAGTTATATCTCACCTCCAACTCCTTATACAATTCCCACTTCACTACACAATTTTCCATTGCTTGTGAAATGGGAAATTTACATGCAGTGAACTGCGCCGACACCCACGGTCAACTGGGTACTCACTACTCGGAGTGAGAGTAACATGGATGCAGCTAACGAGGTTAGCCCCCTTGTTGGGCATTGGTTGTGAGACTTACCACCTCACCCTCGCCGTTAGGCGCTGCATCTGCCACCCTGGTATCACAGGCATGGTGGTGGCCTGGCACATGCGAAGCTTCCTAAGCTGGTTGTGTTTCTCAACGCAATTGTATAGCCGGTGGTAACGCGGACGTGCAAACTTTACTTTACATGTATAACTATAGCTACATCCTACCATTGTACCATCTCCAGGACTGTTGTACCGACCCCTATAAAAAGAGAGTAAAGAGGGTCCGAACCTGGGTTTTCCGGTTCAAATGGTCGCAAGACCGGGAATCTGACAACCGGGTTACCGGTATGGTTGTACTTGTAGTCAGGAGCACTATTGCGTCCTCGCCTTGTAAGTATTAGTTGTAAGTGTTAGTTAACTTACTAGTTGTAAAATATGCTGTCAAAAGCGAAAAAAAGTACAAAACAGTAGACTCGCCAGACCTACCTTGTAACCATGCATGTAGGCTACGTAGATCTACCAGTACCAGGGCGTCGGCTTTCACGACTCCGGTTGTGCCGGGAATTAAAAAAAGGGAGGGCGTAGCCGTAGGGTTGACTGTACTCTCTCTAGCTCTGACGTCTTTCTTCTCTTTCTCAGACTCTTCCTGACTTTTCTTTCATTCTCCTGGGTGGTTACCAACAGCCAATGCATGCCGAAGTATGTGGTGTGATGTGTGTGCGGGGAAAAAGAAAAAAACAACCAAAAATAGTGATTCACTGGTAGCCATTGGCGGACTATGCTCGGCCAATCGTCAAATTATGCTTTTGATTATGCCACGATTATGCCAACAAATATGCTGAATTATGCTGAATAATGCTCGGTTCCACTATGTATTCACGCTGTACATAGAGGATTGAGAAACCACGCATACACACACGGCCATGCCCTAAGCATAATGTTTGTCTAAACCGAAAGATTATGCTGACCTTACACGTTGGAATCCGTATATTATGCCGGAGAATATTTTTTTTTACGAAATCCCAAGATTATGCCAAATTTTATGCCGGCATAATCCGCCAAGGGGTATGACAAGGAGTCGTAACTGGGGTATTAAAAAAAAAAACATCTGCAGGCTTTCTGACAAAGCTGTATTATGCCCCTAAGCATAATTTTTGTCTAAACCGAAAGGTTATGCCGACCTTACACGTTGGAATCCGTATATTATGCCGGAGCATAATTTTTTAACGAAATCCCAAGATTATGCCAAATATTATGCCGGCATAATCCGCCAAGGGCTATTCACTGGCCAGAAAAAGTCACTTCAAATCGCTGTATGGTGTAGACCAGGCTAAATAGTGGCGGTCAATTCTTCAGCCTTGCAAGCTGTTGAATGGAGCAATCCCAGCACAAGTTAGTTGCTATGGCTTCTGCCGTAGCATTGCTATCATCGCCTCCGATCCGGCGATGGGCGTCAAAGGTCAAAGGTCAGCTCTGACTCTGACTCTGAGCTCAGTGTCTACTCTGTCTGTCACCATGTCACCAGTTACGTAGATCTATGCAGAGTCAACGTCATTACTACATTTACATAGGGATTTCTCCGCCCAGTAGCTGCTTGACGCACCGCCGCGGTAGGGTTGGGGTTTTCCTCGTGGTTCTCTCGAATCCCCTTCAAAGCTCGGTGACTGTCTGTGCAAGGACCTTACGGCCCTTAGCCTAGGTGTGCGGCCTGTGTGCAAGTACTTGTGTAGTCTCACGCTGCTTTGTTGTTTACACCTAGGCTACAGTAGTACCTGGTTACGTCGTTGTTCTTACTAAATACTAATCAATCTTACGGACGAATCACGATCATCCTGGCCAGCACTGCACTGTTCGGGCGAGAACAGGAATCCGTTGAGTTGAATGACGCCCAATGCAAGCTGCAGCACATCGTTGTGCAATTCGGATGCATTTTTCTCTCGCTACGTCGTCAGGATTTTGCCTTGAACGGTGGGAGGTTACAGGTAATTACAATTATTAGACACCCTTAGCAAACAACGGTAACGCTATTTTTTACGGTACCAGTGTCTGCTCTAGGATGGTAGGACAGCCGGGTACACGTGAACCTGGCGCAACCATTTCAACCGGGTCGGAGCCGGGTACACATGTACATGTACCTGGCGCTGTCTCACCAGCCGAGTCACATGTTGCCATTGTTGGTTGGTTGGTTTATTTTAATTCGGACAATACTGTATTTTCGGCAGCTATTTAATTTCGGCTATATTCGGCACCGACCCAAAACGCCTAAATTAAAACGCCGATGAAATTTTTCACAGCATCTGTCGCACTACACCATGCCCTCTACCCCACGCCGAAAATAAATCGCCGCCGAAACGTCAAAAATCGTGAAGTGCCGAAATTTTGCAGCGCCGAAATTTATTTACAGTAAACGGGAACTAGGCCCAATGATATAAAGGCGAATGGATAAGCCGCATTTAGAAAAGAGAGGACAGGAATTAGAAAATTACGAAAAAAGAAGAAGTATCTGACACATACCAGCCATGTAGTCAGTCCTTTCAAAGTTCGAAAGTGTAAAGTACCAACCGGGTCACAGGTGACCCGGTACTATATTTTCAACCGGGTCCAAGCGCAGCCCAACCGGGTGGATTACCCGGCTCACCCGGCGCTGGAGCAGACACTGGGTACTCGTACCTTGATCACCCAAATAGCGTTGAAGCTGCAGCGTATAAACGTTATGGGGGCTGATTTATCGTTGTGACCAACGGTACGTGTTTTAGCTAAATATTGCATAGTCCGTACGCATTTCACCTTGTATCGCGTATATGGTGAACAAAATGGTTGTACCGCGCGAAATCAAAGCTATTCTCGTGGCAACAGCGTACTAAAAATAACGTGCATCTTGCTAAAGGTCGAACCCAAATCACGGTATTTTCCCCCTTACGATAATACCGTTACAACATACCGTTGTTTGCTAAGGGTAGACACCCTTAGCAAACAACGGTAACGCTATTTTTTACGGTACTCGTACCTTGATCACCCAAATAGCGTTGAAGCTGCAGCGTATAAACGTTATGGGGGCTGATTTATCGTTGTGACCAACGGTACGTGTTTTGGCCAAATATTGCATAGTCCGTACGCATTTCACCTTGTATCGCGTATATGGTGACAAAAATGGTAGTACCGCGCGAAATCAAAGCTATTCTCGTGGCAACAGCTTACTAAAAATAGCGTGCATTTTGCTAAAGGTCAAACCCAAATCACGGTATTTTCCCCCTTACGATAATACCGTTACAACATAACGTTTTTTGCTAAGGATGTCTATTGTCTATTACATGAAGGTTCTTCCCCCGATGCCAAGTTACTTTCGTGCATACACGCACTACTAACATGACAGTCATGTAGCTGCTACACTACAGATCAGAACCAGGGTCTTCTAAAAAGAGTCTCGAGTTTGTGACAAGGATTGTGTATCCGTATGTGCCTTTCATAATAAGCCGATAAAGTGGCACAGCTCAGCTAGCGAAGGCGCTGTGTAGTACATGGACCATACTCCATAGTATTGTATTGTATTGTATTGTATTTATTTAAAAGGATTCTCCAAAAGCAAATGGATGCTTATCACGGAAGTCTCCCACATAAATATCGCAAGAAAAATGGGGAAATGGGGGAGAGGAGAGTGGAAGATGAAGCATGGGAAGAAGGTAAACAAGTACCTAAATATCGAGGTATAAAAGCAGGAAAGAAATCGACGAGGGAAGAAATCACCTCTGCAGATAATAGCGGGACATTTAGATGAAAAAACCCAGTGCGGGTGTCCATCGTTTCCCTCAAGTACAGGTACGACTGCGGACCAGCAATTAATGGCTATTAAATTATTTGGGAAATTAATTTAGAGATTGAAGGTGCTATGTCATAGTCAGTCCGGAGTCATGACAACGCTGACGTTTGGATCCACTTGGACCCAGGTTTTATATGAGTCCATACTTGTCTGGGTGGGTTTCCATCAGAGTTGGGTTGGGTGACACGTCCGCCAATGACCGCCAGGAGTAGTAACTGGCCTTGGTCGTCCACTTCTAGAGGCTATGAGAATGGTGCAATGGTGCCATTAAGGTTATAGAGGTCACTATGAGAATGATGTCATGGTGGTGAGTCAGTTGAACCGCTTATGGCTATGGGCGCAATGTATACAGCACGAGTCAGCGGTTTCCATGGCTTCTCTTGAGCTAGTGCATCGCGTACTGTGCTGTGGCTGTGCCCTAACATCTAACGTTATAGTCTAGAGGCAAGGTACGTTCGGGCCTGGCTTTGGAAAAATCATTTTTCATTGCTATCAGGTTCGGCCTCATTTCCTCTGTGAGTCCACAAAGGACGGAACAGTTCAGTCCGCAGATTGAGTAGTCTAGCGGTTATGCGATTACATCCGGCATCAGTTGAGAGGCTTTCGCTAAGCCGTGGCACACCGATGCACTTTTTGTAGCTCAAGCGAATCCGCCAACTCATGCTGTATGCTTGCCATTGCTGGCAATAGGAAAATCCCGGCTGGCTCACCGCCATCGCATCCTCTGCATACTAGTAACCTCAATAGAAGAGATTCGAAAACCCTCATACCTGCATGGGCCGGGACATGATGGGTCTACCTGGTACCAGCCAGGGTATGACAGAAAAGTGGACAAAATCGAATTTGCATTTACATGTAAGTTATAGTTTTATGACTTACCACCTCACCCTCGCCGTTTATGGCCCTGCATCTGCCACCCTGGTTTAATTAGGCATGGTGGTGGCCTGGCACGAGCGAAACTTCTCTAAGCAGGTTGTGTTTCTCAACACAATCGTAAGCCGGTGGTAACGCGGATGTGCAAACTTTACTTTTTTATTTGCAGTCGACTCAAATGCATTCGAAACTATTTTACGTTTCCCCGACTGATCCTTTGAACTTGCACTATGCCAACACTATTATGTCAAATGAGCAACTGGAGGCATACTGGAGATGTATCCGCTGCGCTTTGCACTTTCGTCTCAGTGATGGATGACATCATGCTCAGGACGACCGCCGAATCCAGTTTACGAAGGCAGTCCTTGATCCGTCGCTTCAACATCATCTCAGTTGTGGCAAACCAGTGAAACCACCCTCCATCAACCCTGCCCTTCAGAAACGGGTAGACAAGTAATACAGCCCGCAGTCTCAGTAGCCATCCAAATCACCGACCACTTGTCTAAGCTGTACACGCCAGAGCCTGGTGCACTGTTGCTGCGGCGGCCGGGCCTTGCCGACCAGGATTGCGCTATTCAGTACCGCCAGCTTGAGCGGCCCATATTTGAGGCAGAGGTGACACAGGCAGCTGGAAAGTTGAATAATGGCAGGTCAAGTGGCCCAGATAACATGTCAGGGGAGCTGCTAAAGCACTCACCTGCCCTCGTCTACTCCAATATCGCCCAGGTCCTCAACTCTCCCGGCGAGACAGGCCTACCCCTGAACAGCATTGGTAGTGGGTCGCTTATTCCGTTACAAAAGCCTGGCAAATCAAGGGGACCAGTCGCTCACCTACGGCCCGTGGTTTTACTCACAGCGCTCGGGAAGATTCTATCATTGATTGTGCTGCGGAGGATCAACAAGGACGTCAACAACTTCGTTGCACACACACAGAGTGGTTTCCGCCCCAGCAGAAGCACCACAGACGTTGTGTGGTCATGCCTATGGTTGGCGGCTCGATGCCAACGCTATCGCTGTGCGCTGGATATCCTAGGCATTGATATGTCAAAAGCGTTTGACTGTATAAGCAGGCCACGGCTCATCTCGGTGCTGGGATCGTTCTTGCAGCCGGATGAAATCTGAATGATCAGTTACCTCCTCCAGGACACCGTACTGCGGGTTGTACTCCCATCCGCTAAGGGCCCGTCATTCCCCACTCTCCGCGGCACACCCCAAGGTGACTCGTTGTCTCCTGTTTTTTTCATTGTGTACCTTGAGGGTGCACTGCGTGATGTTCGGCCTCTTCTTCAACCACGTCCCCCTGCCGATATCTCCCTGGGGTTACCAACTGAAACTGCCTACGCCGACGATGTGGATTTCGTGACTACTGATGGTGAGAGGCTGAGGACCCTCTTTCCAACCATATCCAACAAGCTCCTCGAATGGGATTTGAAAGTGAATGAGACAAAAACAGAGCACACGCACATCGAACGGCACACTGATCGCATCGAGGAGGAGTGGCGAACCACCAATAAACTCGGGTCCCTATTAGGTGATGCCGAGGATATGCTACGGCGACAGCAACTGGTAACTGTTGCCTTTGGTAAACTCTGGACGCTGTGGATCCATAGGTCGCTAGTTTCGGAGGATCTCCGCATCCGGCTCTATAATGCCTTTGTACTCCCTGTACTCTGCTACAATTGTGCAACATGGGCACCAACGAAATAGCAGCTGAGCCGTATTGAGGCCTTCCACCGAAAACAGCTGCGGGTGCTAATCGGCATTGTGTTCCCGAATGGGATTAGGAACAAGAGGCTCTATGAGTGTACCGGCGCAGTTCCTCTTGGTATTATCATCTTGAGAGCTAGGTGGAGGCTCTTTGGGCACGTCCTCCGGCTCCTGGCTGACTCCCCACCATCACTGGCCATGGGAGCGTACTTTGCAGAGCCTTGTCCAGCGGGCTGGAGGGGACGACTAAGACATACACTACCAACGCTACTACAAGATGATGCCAAGCGGATTGGACTTTCCTTGTCAAGCAAAGTCGATCTGGAGGCGTTCCGTGCCCTTGCTGCTGACCAAAGCGGTTGGGTAGGCATCTTTGCCCGAGTGGTGTCAGCACCCTAGTTTTTGTTTTCTTTTCGCATATTTCTTCTTTTTTTCTGAAACTGTTGTGGTCTTTTGTATCTATTCGAAGTGGCTTATGCAAACACTTTTGGCTGGTTTGCATAATTTGCGTGCCCATTAATGCAGCTGCAGGCCATGTTGATGTCTTCGCGAACAAGCACATAATAATTCTGCCACATCCTGATTCTCTTCCGTTTTATGTTTCTATCCCTGAAGGCATTTTAAAAGAGTTTTGTACAACTACTTGTGACACAACACCAGTCCTTTGTAGTAATTCGGTGGGTGTGTTGTGCATGTAGTAAGGGACAGGCATCAGACATGCACCACCATGAAGTTGAAACATCTTTTTTTCCCTGTTTTGCCATGTCTGCATTTCAGAGCACACTCTCCTGTCTGCAGTAACTGTCATTGCTAGTGTGGGTGATAACTTCCTTTGCCATGGACAGGGCACACAAAGACATTCTCCGAACACAATCACTGGAGATCCGCCGTAGCTTGACAGTCGACGATGATGTCCTGCTGGAATTGAGATCCCGGCGCATCCTCAGCAACACGGACATCATCCGGATACAGCTGAACATCACCTACCGTAGGAATGAAATGGATACAGAAACTAGAACTCAAACGGAGCAGGTACTGGGCTACATTGTGCTTGAGTTTTGCATGTAGGTACTACCATGTCGAGCTGACCTTACTGCTCACGACGCACATTATTAGAATTTTCACTGAACTTTCAGAGGATAGGCCAGCATTTGCCCTTCCCAGTCATTCAGTAGCTGAACAGCATGATTGTGCTGGCAGTTGTGTACAGTCAAACCTGACAGTTACGGACACCCAAGGGACTGAGGCCAAATGTATTCAATTTGCAGGTGTCCTCAATTCTCAGTTGCACCCATCAGCATACAATATGTGCGTCATTTTGTTTGTTGCAATGAATGCGACCATCATGTACACTTCTCCAGTGTGCTTTATGTTCATGAGCATGATTCCATTCAGGTTGCCACGTAGTGTAGAGGAGACAGTTTCAAATAGGACATAGGTTGCAAACCGGAACGGTCTAAATATTCACTTTCTCTCTTGGTATTTTGATTAGAAACGTATGTCACAGTGAGACTACGATGTGTTTTACTCAGCGCCAAAATTCCATGGCTCTGCGATGACCAGAAGCGCCATACCAAGCATTTGAGTTTCGACGTGTTGCTTCCCACTGCGACTTGAGTTTTACGTCTTTTGAAAAATCAACTTCTTGTCGCAGGTAAACAGCGGCTCGCCTCTCGCCAATAAAGAACCGTATATTAATGAAAAGTAATGGAAGCACACACAAGGCTTATTGGTGCTCTGTACTGGCCGTCGTGGAGCCATAGCAATTACCTAATTTCAGACCCAGAGTGAATTTGACGGGCACTCTAAAACCTGTCCGGTTTGAAGCCACCTCTGTAAACACCAACAATTGAGGGCAACTTGGAGGCAACGGGCCAACACAAACTTGGAGGGGCTCAGATCGATCGACTCTGGCCTCAGAGCAAACTTCAAGACAACATGCCAGCTTCCTTCCACAAACATATTTCGAGTGAACAATCCATACTGATGATCGGATTGGGTCTACACAATTTTGCTGTCAACCCGTTCCGGTGTCGAACCGTCGCCTCTACCGTCAGCCTGGTCTATGTAAGCGTACACATAGCATGGAGTGCATGAACCCCGGTACCCCGGTCAGTGTGTCCGCATCCTCCGCATCCGTCAGGCTGAGACCAGTGCAACACAGTACTGTGGGCACGTGAGAGTGTCCGCATTTCGTATTTCACAGGTGACCGCATTATCAAGGGTCCGTGCATACTAAAAAGTACACAAAATCAATGGGGCTGCGACGAGCTCAGTGTCCTCACTTTGCAGGTATCCGTTTTCCTTCTGTGTCCGCAAGGACAGGTTTGGACGTATTACCATCCTGTAATCGACCGACTGTGTGTTCAGCTAGCACACGGTACTGCATGGCAAGGGATCACTGCCCCAGCACAGGGGACTGGCGGTCAAGGGCAGTCAGACGTCCATGAATCAGTGCAGGAAACCTGGGGGCCCTTCTCGTATCTTCATTGTGTCAAGTTAATCAAAAAAGGCTTCTGTAGTTTAACTGTTACTCTCCGTGTGTCTATGTTTGTTTCTCTCTCTCTCTCTCTCTCTCTCTCTCTCTCTCTCTCTCTCTCTCTCTCTCTCTCTCTCTCTCTCTCTCTCTCTCTCTCTCTCTCTCTCTCTCTCTCTCTCTCTCTCTCTCTCTTACTCTCTCTCTCTCATTGTGTCAAGTTAATCAAAAAAGGCTTCTGTAGTTTAACTGTTACTCTCCGTGTGTCTATGTTTGTTTCTCTCTCTCTCTCTCTCTCTCTCTCTCTCTCTCTCTCTCTCTCTCTCTCTCTCTCTCTCTCTCTCTCTCTCTCTCTCTCTCTCTCTCTCTCTCTCTCTCTCTCTCTCTCTCTCTCTCTCTCTCTCTCTCTCTCTCTCTCTCTCTCTCTCTCTCTCTCTCTCTCTCTCTCTCTCTCTCTCTCTCTCTCTCTCTCTCTCTCTCTCTCTCTCTCTGTGTGTGTGTGTTAACTCACCTGCTTTCAGGCTGACATTCTCCTCGACATATTGCCATCACGGGGCAGCACGGCATTCAGCTCATTTCATGATGCACTGCGTGACTCGACACTGACAAGCAACAACGACCTGGCTAGCATGCTGCGGCAAGAAGAGCGGGAAAAGCGGGTGGGAAGGCACCTAACCTGCTTCCCGTTGGCTGACTCTCTGCCCGGTCAGTGCTTCTTCGACCAGTGCAGTCAGTGCAGCCAGTGCAGTCAGTACAGCCAATTTATGTGCTTTTCTTCAAATTGAGCAATTGATCACGTCCCAACCTGCGCAGAAGGATAAGGGTTCGTTCACATATCGCCAGTACGCTGCCGGGGAGTCACCGGCGGTGGGCCGCTTGCAACCTCTCCCGGCGCATTGCGTTTTGTGAACCAGCGTAGTCGTAACAAAATCATACAGTAAATAATCGCAAGAGACCGCCGGCAAAGTTGGGCAGTGCCCAACTCTTGCGATCTGCCCTGGCACCGATCCTTTAACATATTGACCAAAAGTGGTCTGTAAACCATTCGCGCCGGTGATCGCCGGTGCCGGGAGCCAGACTTTGTCAAAATTTCAAACCAATCCTAAACTGAAGCTAGAGATGAGGTCTGTTCGCCATTTTTGTAGTCGCTTCAAGGTGGCTAATAAGTCAGCATACCATCCCGTCCTCCTCGGATGATCTGCTTGACTGTTGTGTAACTTATGAGACAAAGACAATTGAAACAAATAAAAAAATATGATGGATACATTGGCAAGTTCTTGTGACTTCATCAACGTTCGCATGCATAATTTCGACACCATCGCTTACTAGACTGCAATAACATATGGAGAAGAAGTTTCATGATCTCCAGTAAAAGGTAGCACCGAGTGGCCATCACCGAAAGACCTTGAACTACTGAAGAAACAAAGAATTCGAGCTTCAATTGACAAATTGTCGTAGCATTTGGGCACATCATCTGTACTACTTTGTAGTAGGTTTGGTACTCGGACCGTATGCGCAACAGATTGGGAGCTGGCTGACCGCTGATCAGCGCCGATGTTGTGCGGCGCCGATTTTGCTTATGTGAACCAACTCTAAACCGGTGTGCACTACTTCATGTATGCATTATTGTACGGTGCAGATCATGAACTTTGCAGAAAATGTACCGTGTACCACCAAAATCTACACATTTCAGGAATGTGTACGGCAATTGCCTCCTGTATACTTTGATCTGTACGACTTTCCTTTGTCCACAGCTGGCTGAGCCCTGTAGAAACCGAATATTGAACTCATTATAGGTACCAAAAAGGGGCTCTCCAAGCGACGATAAAAAGCTCCATAAGCTATCAATAAGAACGAAGTTCTCAATAAGAGCGCAGCATTTCTTTGCTTCGATTATCCTTTTAGTCGTACTCAGTGCTGTTGAGTTACCGAAGGAAAGTGTGATATCATACCATCATACCATGCTATTTCTCTCTGCACACACACACCACAAATATACCCAATACATGTAGAAGGGTATCAGGACAAGTATGATGCGTTCTACTTGAAGTATGTCTTACAAAGAAACTCTGTTCGTGCTGCCGTCTGCAAGCGCCGTGTGGTCTTGTCGGCCCGGTCAAATTAAAAAAAAAGCCTATCAAAACTATTTTTTTATTTGGCACAATTATCTTGACCTCGTTTAAAAATAACTGCTTGGGCAGCTTCCTTGCAAAGGAAATAATACCCTCAATCTAAAATAGTGCATGGCAGGTTGGGTCTCTAATGGCTTGTTAGTGCCATCCATGTTGATGCCTCATATACTCATGATCTCCAAAAAAAGGTTGACATCAACAAAAAAAGCCACCGTGGGCCAAACCAAGCGGAGTTGCACACTCTTGTTCACATACTCTTGTTATTGCTGATTATATGGCTGATTCTTTCAGGTACAACTAGCAATCCACATTCCTCCAAGCCTTCGAGGCGTATCATTTTCGATATATATACATCAGGCTATGCGGAAACCACCATGGTGGATACAGCTTTGGACTGGGCATTTGGTGCACAGCAAGCTACAGCAGACGGAGACAGTGTCGGATATCTTGGTGCTGGTGCTGAAAATCTCTCTGAAGGTACATGTAGAACTCGTGCTTGTACATGTCTCTTACTTCAATTTCAATTTTCTTCTGTGTGACATGACTGTTGCTATGGAATGGCGTTCGATCATTGGATTCGTTTAGGGCAGGACGTGTTGATGCGCAAACATCGGGGCATTGGACACAGTTCCTTTTTTTATTGTATGTAAGGAGAAAATGATCTAGACTTGGGGCGCATTTGGTTGGTACGAACTAGAACAGGATTCACCAGAACAGCGCTTTTGGTTGGGGCGGCACCTGTTCTGTGTCGGCCAGAACATGTTCTGCTTGCTCCGGCCTCGAGGCTGGAGCAGACCGAGCAGTTTGACTTTTTCGCAGTGAAACCTGGCGGGAACATGGATTTTCGTCCTAAATGATCACGTGCATACGCTTTTGGGTTGGACTCGTCGTACCGTACAAAGTGACCATGGTGACCCATACACATGAAGAATGCACCAAGTTTGGCACATTTTTTTCACAAAAATGTGCTCTGTTTCTGGAGTACCGTTTGGTTGGCATGAGGCTGCTCCATGTGCACCAGCTGTTCGATCCTGTTCTAGATCGTACCAACCAAACGCACCCCAAGTGTGGCCTGTAGTCTTTAGTTTGAGCTTAAAAACACGCTGAACTTTACTTTAGTGAAAGAAGACACATGGTGGGAGGGGGTTGATCAATTTCGTTTCAGAATGCATCAACACATGCATATGGAAGTACCAGCAGTGCACATGTGTGACTTTTTTTGCTGAGCATGCATGTACCGTAAAATCCCGCCAGAGCGCCCCTACCCCCGCAACCATTCGAGTAGATCCATTTGGGAGGGGCGGATGGGCGAGTCCTATTTGCAGCATTCAGTACTACATGAAAAAGTACTCACCCTAGGAAAACTGTGTGTGCGTCTCGTACGCCGACCAAAGGGCAAGAGCTGGGAGTCGTACAAACCCGTCAAAAGTTCTCAAAACCCTAGAGGTTCTGCCATCCCTGGTCAAGAGGGTGGGAACTGTTGCGTACATTTCCAACCAGGTCGAGGACGCGTCTGCAGTACAGTACGGCCTCACACACTTCACAGAGTCATACGAGGATACAATCACTATCACTTCCCTGACAAGAAGTCAGGGAGGGGCGCATGGGAGAGACGGGGCGCTCTGGCGGGATTTTACGGTACTCGAACATGCCTCCGGATAGCACACGACTTGGTTCTAGAAGACTGTATTATAATGTTTTACTCTGACTCAAATCGAAATCATCTTCCAGTACAAAGGATGTTCTGCTTCTCCCAAAGCAGAAGCGGAGATTCAAAAAACAGTCGAATCGCAAGATCGCGCGAAAGCAGTGTACGCACATCAGACGTCAGCTAGTTGACGTGAATACAACATGAGGAACGAATGCGTAGTAGTATGATAATGCACAACAGTACAACAAGCAGTGCTGATAGACATACATAAAACGGAGCGGCTGTGCACCACCTCTGCACCATAATTAGCGGGCTGGATATAAACTATACATTAGGTATGCATATTAGGTATACATATTAGGTATACATATTAGGTATACATATTAGGTATACATATTAGGTATACATATTAGGTATACATATTAGGTATACACACACAACAGAAGCGAAAGGCTGTGTAGCTGTCTCTTATATGTAGGCTGTGTTTACATGAGGCGTCTCAACCCGGGTCAGATTTCAACCCGCCATGTACAGTACACAAAAGGAATGGCGCGTTTACATGACGCATTGCGCTTGACCCGGGTTGAAATTTCTAAAATCGTACTAACGTACTTCTGTGCGTATCTCGCGCCAGGTTTGAACAGCACTGCACGTGCAAATTTCGCGCGAACGGATTCACGTGACCATACAGGACTCCAGAAGTGGACTTTTGGCGGCATATCAGTATTTGACCCGGGTCAACTGTCTTCATGTAAACGCTCACCTATTTTGTCTATCGTACAGACTTTCAACTCGGGCTGAACTCGACCCAGGTTGAAATTTCTCGTGTAAACACAGCCTTAGGGGCCGTCCGTAAATACATGTATTTACTTAGAGACGTGTAAGAGGCGTTTCTTTCTTGACCCACCCACCCATCCCCAGAAACGCCCCTCAAAAATGCAGATAATACCACTCATAATAACCACTATACTATGCACACATATACAGTACAGACGACTCCACTTATAACGAACTCGCATATAGCGAATTTCGTGACATAGCCACAGTATTAGGCCATGTAAAATATATTGATTGTTTATCGTCAGCTTTTCCCGAGAAATCGGGGCGGACGGGAGGGTTTTTATTTTTTATTTTTTATCATGCATGTACCCAGTACATGTATGGCTGTAGCAGGGAGTCGTAAAATACCATTTATTTTTTTATTTTACGACTCCCTGGGCTGTAGGGTACCGGGTAGGTGTTCGCAACCCCAGACATGCCTTTTTCTTGGTTTTTTTGTTGATGTATTTTTTGAAGCCATTTTGGCGCAGAGTGAGATAAATCCATGGGATGCAGATAAATGGTCAGCCACGAATGACATCTTGCAAGACAATTTTGAGGATTCTAATAAGGAAAGGTGTGTGGGAGCAAACCCATTCCTAAAGAAAGGTGCAACAACCAATGTAGAAAAATGAAGAAATCTGGCAGCTGATAATCAGTTTCACTTTTCAAGCCCATACTAGGGCCATAGCGACCAAGTTATGGTTCAGTCTGTGGACTTGACCTTCGAAAATCTAGGCCATGCTGATTAGAGGCCGTAGAAGGCAGGACATACAGTGCATTTACCAGTACTAAAAAATAAAATAAAAATAATTATTTGGCCGGGAGGGTGAAAATTCGGGGCGGGCGCGGACGATAAACAATCAATATTTTTTACTTGGCCTTAGCGAACCCTTGTCCATGTCCCTGTTTGAACCCATACAAAATTGACCATTTATACAATGTCATGTAGCTAGTGAACAGTCTCCCTGGCCACTCTGCAGTGACCCGTGCAGTGCAGTGTAGACTTAGACTGAGTGCGTCTCAACGCCTACCTGTACTAGCTGTAGCAGTGCTACATACACGCGCGGTATGGTATGCATGCATTCCGAAATGTATTTTTTAGAAACGCCTTGCAGGCGAATCCACCCACCAGAAACGCCTCTTAGACGTCTCTAAGTAAATACATGGACGGCCCCTTAGGTATTATTAGGTGTACTAGTACATATTTTAGGTATACTTATTTTTTGTTCTGAGGGGTTAACCTCTTTTGGCCGGAGAACTCCGGCAGCCCTCCACACAAAGTTGCCCTGTTAGGTCGTTCTTAATTATTACCGTGTGTTTTACTGGTTCTATCAGGTACAGCAGTTCGTCGCCGCAATCAAGCAGGACATGTGACAGAAGATGTTCACATTGTGCTCCCTGGCCGTCCGCAACCTGACATCCTTGGAAATAGAATTCGATTTGCCGTCGCTCTTGTTTGTTTTGCGGCTGTGTTCGATCTTCTTTATTACTATGTACTTTGAAGTATTGGGATGGCTTTCACTGGTCCAGTTTGTTTCTTAGAAGGCCGAAGCCACAGGTGTGCCTGTCTCAAGAACATCCAGACTACTGGTAGACAAGCATGGACTCCTTGGCTGCTTGACAATACAACCCAGGGCCAGGGCTCCGTTGGACAAGCATCCCATGTCTGTCCATGACAAGCAGCAGTTTGGTACATGTTCTTGATCCCAACCCTACGTAATATGCAGATACCTTCCCAGCTCAAGTTTATCTAGCCATCTTTTGCAAAGGCAATGCGATCCCGTTCCTTCCTGTTGCCCAGGGCCTCCCACCTTGGAGCACAATGCACCGACTCGAAGTAAGTTGCTAGAAACCTAAAAATAGTTTTCTCCAAATGTGAATACGCTGTACATTCCCAGATTTCTGCACCTCTTCCTAAGAGTAGAATCGTGCCTGGATACGGCAGTGGTGTGGAAAGGGGACATGCCTACTCCGGCGCTGCGTCAATACCTGCACTGTGGCTGTGTCTAGGGGTCAGCGGGTAATGCCGGCTATATATTTAGCATTTATATGGGATTTTAAATTTCGAGACATTACAGGGCATTATCCCTGCGTGACTGTATTGCTCCTACATAACGGCACCAGGATACGTTTACAATAATTATTATTTTTATTACGATTCCGCGTATCTTTTGAATGTCATGTTCCATAATCATGTTTGATGTGTCTTACTAACTATCCCAGAGCATTCATGATGTGAGCATTATATGCTTCTTTTTAGGGCATTACAAAAGCCGCTTCAAAGCTATCGTGAAAAGTTGAGCATTACCCGCTGAGGCGGCGCTGACCCCTACAAGCTGTGTCTCCGGCTACTAGTACTAGTACCTGTGTGGTCATTGGTTAAAGACTCTGACTGCATGGCATTGTCAGGTGACCCTCGGCATCGTAACACTTTGCCCTTTACTGTGCTTGGCTTCAGCAGTATTCAATGTCTGAGATATCCGAAAGATTTCCTCAGCCTTTACACTTTGGCTATGCCGTTGTCTACTTTTGTGTAAATCTGCTTCTGGCCTTTGTGTGCACACCGTTGGGTGGTTGTACATGGCTATTATGCTATGCATCGATACCATTATTGGCCATGCTTGGGTAATGCCGGTCAATGTAGCATTCTTGACTTACTGGAGCGTTATAAGAGCATTGATCATTATGCTACTCAAGTTCCTCGCGAGCATTACTCAAACTATTATACAATGATTATGTACCGTGATGTGACGTAACTCAAGCATTATCCACTGACCCCTATGATCTGTCGCCGATGAGCAACCGGTTTGTCTCTCAGATGAAGTAACGTTATTGGTCTTCAGCTGACCTAGTCCATCACTTTTCAGTGTTGTACATGTACAATGTATGATAATACATGTACAGTCATGTATATGTACAAGTAGAAAGATGCTCTTGTTTGTGGCAGATAGAAAGATTGCCACTTGCCATCCATTCCAATATTTGCTCTTCCTTTAGTAACTTTTGCCACCCCTCCTGGTCGAGCTTATCTGTACAAAATTTGTGTAAGCCCTTTTTTTAAGGGAAACTGAACGCCAAAATGGCAAAAATAAGTATGGCCTTTAATTCTTGCACATTCAAACAGCAGCCAAGAAGCTAGATCTCGGGGTTATGCTGGTAGGAGGATTGGGCCCAGGCCAAGGGGATCGGGGCGATTTCCCTGGGATATCCGGGTTCCCCTGGCCCAGGGTATTATGGAGACTAATCACCATGCTGCAGCTGGGTCGTAGGTCATAGTAAGAGTTATACATTGTATACTCTTGGCCATAGCCGTAGGGGATTATCAGCCCCTGACTTGCCTGACAAGTTTATTAAGTATATAATAACACATGGTACGGAGGGCATTATGGCTGATTTATGCCCTAGTGCGTAGCCCGATGTCGTGCACCGTAGCCCAAGGGCCGCAGGCCCGCGGGCTACGGTGCACGACCGAGGGCTACGCACTAGGGCATACAATCAGCCATAATGCACGACGCACCATGTGTTTATTATAGTTCATACATGCCACGTGCCTAGTTGTAGACAAATAAGGTAAACATGGTCAAGGGAGGAGGAAGGTTCCAATCAGCTGTCATATGAATGAAGGGTCGAACAAGATCGGAAGGAGCTTTCTCCGTGGAATGATAGAACGTTTTGTGTCAGATTTACTTGCAGTTCCAGGATTATGTCTTTGCATTTTGGTGTTAGTGTTGCCTATTGGGCGGTACGGAAGTTAGCTGATTCGCTGCTGCTTTGGAGTTAACGTTGGCCGCAAACATCCTTGACCAAGTGGCACTAGTAAATAGACTAGCTTTGAGAGTACATTGTAAGTGTTCTTATTCGGAACAATGCTTTTTCACATACATGTACATCTGAGATTTTGTTCGCATTGCTTTCAGTTTACTTGAGGTCCATTATGTTCACTGGACAATCATGTAGCTAGGTACATTTGAAGTACATGTACATGTAGATGTAGATGTAACTGTATATTTTGTAGGAGTTCGAGATACAATCTGATCTCTTCCAGATAGGTAACTTTGTGATGCATGTTCACCTGTCGACTTGTTCGTCTCAATTGACTTGAATTTAGTAATGCATGGTAATGACATGCTGTGTGTTATTGTCACGTTGTTATAAATTACTTCTCCTATGTCGACATTGCTAGTAAAATATAATTGTTTTGGACGGTGCACGTAAGTAGTTTCGTTTTGTGTGGTGTGTGCGAGTGCATGTGGTGTCCTTAGGAATGGTCCCACGTGTTCTATGTGCGCTGGAGTGCTGCCAATTATGTACCAGGTCACTGCCCAAAAGGCATGGCTTGGTGCATATTTGGCAGTGCACCAGCGTACGTAGTACGCCTGGGGTCATTCCTAATGGGCATGGGTACGCCGTACCCGGGCATTATCGTCTGATAATGCCCTGGTACGGTGCTGCTCTGATTGGCCAAATGCTAGCAACGACCTGACAACAGGCACGTGACATGTATGAATTACATAATTATAGACCTTGTCACCTGTGCAGGCCTTGACACTTCAACTTTCAAGTCATGATATGGCCCGCGATCTGCTAAAACCAGGTAGTAGTACAATATTAATACCGTATGCAATCAAAGCTCATATTGAAGAAGCTAACGTGGCCCGTGACCTTTATCAAAAGTGTATTACTGCCTGGCATCTGATCATCTGCCTGTGACGCTCCAGACGGCTGGAATCTCACGGCAACGTGCAAAGTACTTGCACCAACAGATTCGTCAGCACTGCCACCCAGAGAGCGGAGATATCACCTGCCCAGCACCAGACCAAGCAGAGCCAATGTCCTAATTATTTGTTCGGAACATACATAGTAGAATACTGGATAGCTGTAATAGTTTTTCTCTCTACACAAACAGGTGTATGAAGCCTCAGATACGAAATATAGTGTGAATATCAATTATTTTGAAACTCGGATGTTGAGCCATAAATAAATGTGGAAGAGAAAAAAGACATATGGATACGAGTTAAGAGTAACTCTCCATCACTGTAACATGATACTATATACAGTCAGAAAGTGCAATAACTAGGCACAAAACTGACAGAGTACTGAAACATTCGACGTCCTGACACCTAGCTTCAACACATCTCCGTAGCGCTAACCGACAGCCTTCCAACTTGGAAGGTTCAAGGTTATGGAAAGACCAAAGAGGGGAAGGCAAGCGCAACGAAAACGAGCAAAAGCTACAGTCCCAAAGGAACAAAGAATGTCGATTGTTACTGGACGATGACGAGACCAGTACGATATTTGACAAAGCGGTCTAACTACAATTCGAAGCAGCAAAGCAGCACACCACCCAACTTGGGTGGGTCATAAATATCAAAGATAAGTAAAGAAAGGGAAGCTTTGCGAGAACGAATTGTACAAGCCGAAAGCCAAACTCCTACAGTACTCCTCATGCATGACATTGTGATGGACTAGTTGACTACAAAACAAGTTGTTTCACACGACGTACGTTTCGCCGTATGGTTCGTGACGGCTCATCAGGTGTGCAATTTGAAACTCGGATGTTGAGCCATAAATAAATGTGGAAGAGAAAAAAGACATATGGATACGAGTTAAGACTTAACTCGTATCCATATGTCTTTTTTCTCTTCCACATCAATTATTTTCGGCATTTTTAATTTTTTATGCACCAAAAGCTTTCATAAGATGGGTCATATTTCAATGAATATATACAATTTGAGCCTAATACTTCACCATATGTTTGGGCAATGGCCAGGGACCAACTTCCGGCCAAAAACTCATTTTCGGCAAAATAGCACCAAAGGGTGGTTTTAGCAGATCCTTGGCCATATGAAGTCTGTGTGGACGCGGAGACTAGACCACGTTCATGCCATGGTAGCCTTGGTTAGTCGGTAGGCCCCGGTCCAGACCAAGGTTCGTCGATAAAATATACATTTTTTTTTTTTTTTTTTTTTTTTTTACTAAGGCCACAGCTTCCAATCATGACATGCAAAGCAGCGGTGCAGCATCGCAGGCATGAATCGTGGACGTGGTGACGGGGTCTGATGTGCTCCACCGACCTAGGGTCTCGGCTTCACTGCACAGCAAACGCGTCGAAAGAAAACGGGGGCTAATAATTATCGGGAGATGGGGGGGGGGGGGAAGAAGAAGAGAAGAAAGAAAGAGAGAGAGAGAGAGACATGACTTCAAGTCTTGTATACTAGTAGGTAGGTAGCATCAGACATCACTTGCTATCACAGCGCCAATAGTGAACCAATAACTTGATCGACGCCCACCCAAACAAGAGTGACCAAGACGCCCCAGCCATCAGTCCGGATCAAAACTCGCAACGCGTCTTGAGTATCGCGGAGGGCATGTTGTTGTTGTTGTTGATTTTTATTTTGCTTCGCAAGGCCAAACGGGCAATGGTGCCCAATTCTATGGAAGCGAATTTCAAAAGGGAGAGAGCTACGGGGAGAGAGAGAGAGAGAGAGAGAGAGAGAGAGAGAGAGAGAGAGAGAGAGAGAGAGAGAGAGAGAGAGAGAGAGAGAGAGAGAGAGAGAGAGAGAGAGAGAGCATGGCTAATCTATTCTGAAGCCGTTGCATGGCGAGGCACGATGCATCGCCTGACAAAAGGGCCAGGAAAAAGTCGGTTGATGCCGGCAGCTGGCAGGAGACAGAGCTTGTTGCGGAGCTTTCACCGGTCCAGCGGCAGCTCGCAGTAGCACACGAAAAGGCCTGTCAACCACAACCGCCCTGGAAAAGCCGCACCATGCTGAAGAAGTCAGATTTCAGAGAACCGCAAACAAGCTACCTGCACAACCGGCGCCTGCAGGCTGTTGTGGGCGGCCAAGAGTCCTCCCTGCACCATATCCAAGCAGGGGTACCACAAGGTAGCATCCTTGGACCAACGTTATTCCTCCTGTACGTAAATGACTGCGAGGACACCCTGCCTGCTGGTGCTGAGCTTGCCACCTATGCAGATGACACGACACTGTATCAGTGCATCTCTGCCACTGACAGCATATCCGACTCTGCAGCACAACTCCAGGAAGCAATGGACGCCGTCTCCCACTGGGGTTCCAAGTGGAAGGTCACCTTCGAGCCAGGTATTGTACTACTCCCTGCTTCGAGCCATCCAAATCTCATCATCGACCACCGCAAGCCTCCCCCAGCGTTCCCACCAGTGCTCTTCAATGGAGTGACTGTTCCTGAAGAGAAGGAAATTAAACTTCTGGGCATAGCATTCGACTCGCAACTGTCCTACGCAGCACACCTCCGGGCCGTGGCCTCAAAGGCTGCCCAAAGCCTACACTTCCTGAGAAAGGGTGCACCCCTGTTGGACTCCAGCGGCCGCACGGCAGTCTACAAAGGCTTCGTGCGGCCAACAATGGAATACTGCTGCCTGGTGTGGATGGGGTCAGGTACATCCAGGCTGGACACAATTCAGCACAAGGCACTGAAGGTGATTGGCCAGGCGCCTGGCTCCCCAGCCTGAAACACCGCCGA